GAGGAGTCAGAGGGTGTGCTCTGGGGAGGGCCCTCCCAAGACTGACCTCATGGCCTTCAGCCCCAGCCTTCCACCTTGTCCCGTTGTGGCAGATTTGGGAAAGCATCAGGATTTAAATGAAGAGAATTGTGACAGGGTAAGGCTTAATTTATATTTGAAAGTTAATTTATCTTTATTTTATAAACTTTTTTCCTAAGTTTCTGTTTTATATTTCAAATGCTCCATGGCTCTCAGTTTGAACTTATAGTCCTCATCCGAGTTTATGAGGTTTGTGGAGGATTTAATTTTTTGTAGCTTTAATACTGAGAGAGTGCTTTACTGGTAGCTGTTGATCAGGGACAGCTCCTATCTTTTTGAAGTTGCCCATAATGTCATGCCACTAGTTCCTTATAACAGTTTGCGACCTGGATGTTTACTCTTTCAGTCTTAAAGTAGCATGTCTCTTTAACTTCTTCCACTCCGTCCAAGCAGAGAATGTTCTCTTTCTTAAAAGGTTCCCCTGACTGAGTCATTCTCCTCCCAGGTAACCTCACCTTTTGTGTATATTATAATATAAGCATGAGAGTAACTTCTCATTATATTCAGAGGTTCCATCCAAACTCACTGTGAGGTCATTATATTTTAATCCATTTTACAATAATTACATCTTTTGGTTTTATTCTCTTTTTTATACTCTCTTTTGGCTACTAGTCTGAATTCAAGATGTAAGTGGACATTATTAAAATGGAAGTAGTCATTTTATTTGCCTTGGTAGTAGTATTTTTTTCTAGCATTTTCAATTCTTTGCATTTGATTTTTTTGAGAGATTTTTGCTATAGGGCATGTGCACTCACCAGAGAGACAGAGAGACAGAAAGCGAGAATTCATCCCCAGAGAGAAGGCCATGCTAAAATTCCTTCTCCTCCATTCTGTTCTTGGAATTTTGGGCATGAACACACACACACTCGGCATTAGTTTTAAGCCTCCAGGTCTGGGACTGGAACTGTGGTCGACTATGTGGGAATCCAGCCATGTAACCATTACGCCATGTGCTGGTCCTGCATTCAATCTTTTGAAGAATTATTTCACATGTACTCTTTTTAAAATAATATATGAACATGTTAATGCCACGTAACACCTTTGCTTTCTATTTTAATGTTTTCTGCTGACTTTTATTAAGCTAACACTTTCAGTTTATCTATTTTGGGCAAGAACTCTGCCCATATATCTTACTTTCTAGATTCCCATCTGGGCCTGGCAATTCCAGGAGATATTAGTGTTCATTTACAGTTGCTTTTTTATATCATTTCAGGATAAAGGATGGAACATTAGTTATCATACTGAAACTTCTGATAGGGGTGAAGGAGTTAATAGGAGATTTTCTATTCTTTAATAACCCGGTTTCACACACCTTTCCCCTCTTCCCCCCTCAACTCACATTTTTTTTAATTTATTTTTTTATTTTTATTATCATCATAATCTTCTTTATATTACATTGGATTACATATAACTTTACAGTGTATTACATTGTTTTTTCAAAAGGGAATGCCATGCATGTCAGTCAGTACAGAGACATTAATCTCCCCACTTCAACATTCCATATCTTTTCTGTTTTCCCCAATCATTATTTTTATTATTCTAATTATTTTTATAAAACAGTCAATTGCTATTTCTCGTTTTGCTTGTAAAAATACTTTGCCCATCATGAAATACTTCTCAGACCAATCCAGTTGAGAATACTATACATGTCATCATCAACAGTTAATAACCCCTATCTGTTTCTCACTAACGTCCTGTCTCTCTATTGTTCACTTGCTATCTTTCTCTATCCTCTTCTCTTCACTTACCCCATTCCACACTGTCCTATTCTCATTAAGTACCTTCACTGTGTTTATGTCCTCCGAATTTTTGCTCTCTATTATAGAGTGCGGATAGTCGGTATATATTGAGTGGATACATACAATATCTTTCTTTCATAGCCTGGCTTACTTCACTCAGCAATAGATCCTCCATATCTGACCATTTTCTATCAAATTCCAGGGTCTTGTTATTTTTTATGGCTGAGTAGTATTCCATAGAGTATATATACCACACTTTTCCAATCCATTCATCAGTTTGTGGACATTTAGGTTGGTTCCATGTCTTGGCAATTGTGAATAATGCTGCAATAAACATGGATGTGCAAGCACTTTTCTGACTGAGCGTTCTCCTGTCTTTTGGGTAAATACCCAGAAGTGGGATTGCTGGATCAAATGGTAGTTCTATTTGTAGATCTTTGAGGAACCTCCATATTGTTCTCCACAGTGGTTGAACTAGTTTACATTCCCACCAACAGTGTAGGAGGGTTCCCTTTTCACCACATCCCCGCCAACACTTATCACTTTTTATATTCTTAATCTTTGCCATTCTGACAGGGGTTAGGTGGTATCTCATTGTGGTTTTTATCTGCATTTCCCTTATGATGAGGGATGTCGAGCATTTCCTCATATGCTTTTTGGCTGTTCGTATGTCTTCCTTAGAGAGACTTTTGTTCAGCTCACTTTCCCATCTTTTAATCGGGTTAATCATTTTTTTTCGCATAAGGCACTTGAGTTCCCTATGTATTCTCGTTATCAGTCCCTTGTCTGAGGCATATTTAACAAAAATATTTTCCCATTCTGAGGGTTGTCGGTTCACACTTGTTACTGTGTCCTTTGCTGTGCAGAAACTTCTTAGTCTAATATAGTCCCACTTGTCTATTTTAGGGATTATTGCCTGTGCTTTGGGAGTCTTATTTAAGAAGTCTTTGCCTACTCCAATGTCTCCCAGAGTTTCCCCAGCATTTTCCACAAGTAGTTTTATTGTCTGAGGTCTTAGGTTCAGATCTTTGATCCATTTTGAGTTGACTGTTGTTAATGGTGAAAGATGGGGGTTCAGTTTCATCTTTCTGCAGGTGGATACCCAGTTTTTCCAGCACCATTTACTAAAGAGGTTTTCCTTTTCCCAATGGATTGACTGATATCCTTTGTCAAAGATCAGTTGGCTATAAGCTTTGGGAGTTATTTCTGGGGTCTCTATTCTCTTCCATTGGTCCACATGTCTGTTTTTATGCCAATACCATGCTGTTTTGATGACCACAGCTTTATAGTATATCTTGGGATCAGGGAGTGATATGCCTCCTACTCCATTCTTCTTACGCAGGATTGCTTTTGCAATACGAGGTCTTTTATGGTTCCAGACAA